AACTTGTTCCTTTAAAGAGAGGAATTTCTCTACAAAGGTTGAAGAAGTTGATCCACAAGAAATTGGAGAAAGAACCCCACGAAAATGTAGCAACCATCCATTTTCGCTGCCCAACTAGACTCGGAGTTGGGATCAACAACTTCATTGCTATTGAGTTGAAAGATGATGACGACGTGGAGGCCATGCTCGATGTTCATGATTCAAACTCAAGTCTATGTGGTATTGAAATTTTTGTTTCATTTAAAACTTCTTCTTCTTCATACCCCAACACACACTCACCTGAAATTTCACCCTTACCCTACCAAGTTTTCCCAAACACTGACCCAGAAATACCCACACATAATGACTACATCCCTTTTACTCAACTTCTAAGTGGGCCTTCCACCAACATCAACGAAGAACTACCCACACAAGAGAACAAAATTGTTGGTCTCCCAATTGAAGTCGTTGATCCTTTTATTGAGGATGAAGACGAAGATGAAATTCTCAGCCAACACCAAGATGATTCAGAGGACGAACAACCACATATCCCTACACATGCACCAAACTTCATGGAACCATACAACCCACCACAACATTTTCTTAACTTTGAAAATCACATTCAATAACAAGACCCAGAGTATGGTCATGTGTTGGACAGAGAGTCTTTTGTTTCTCCGACAGGAACTCTATTTCTTGGACAACGTTTCATAACAAAAGAACAAGTTCAAGATGTCATCAACCGCTTTCACATTGTCAATCACTGCACATACAAGGTGAAAATTTCAAACCAAAGTAGATATGTTGTTGAATGTGTTGATAACTAATGCAATTGGAGATGTCGAGCAATATTGTGCACAAGAGAGCAATATTGGGAGATTATGAAGCTTGAAGGGCACCATACATGCGTTTCGCCATTAATCAGCCAAGACCACAACAAGTTGGGATATAAAATGATTTTCCAAACAATTGGTCAAATAATTGATGCTGATTCGTCAACACCAATCTCCACAATCATAGCCCACATCCAATTAACAACGGGTTACACTATAACATATAGGAAGGCCTGGTTGGCCAAACAAAAGGCAGTGGAGATCATCTACGGCAATTGGGAGGATTCGTATAAGAAGTTGTCTTGTTTGTTACAAGCCATGCAACAATTTGTTCCCGGATTCATCTACAAACTGCAGTCACAACCAGCTTACCAAGGTGAAGTCCTTCAACAAAATTCAAATATTTTTAAACGTGTGTTTTGGTCGTTTAGGTCATGCATAGATGGATTTGTTCACTGCAAGCCCATTGTTCAAGTGGACGAAACTTTTTTGTATGGAAAATATAGAGGTACCTTGTTGGTTGCAGTAGCACAAGATGGCCGCAACAACATCCTCCCCATTTCGTTTGCAGTGGTTGAAGGTGAAACAAGTGATGCCTGGTTTTTTTTCTTAAAAAACCTTCAAAGATATGTCACACCCCAATAAGGATTATGCCTCATATCAGACCCACATGAATCCATTAGAAGAGCATACATGAGAAATGGAAGCGGATGGACAAAAAATAATTCAATGCATGTCTACTGCATTAGACACATTGCTCAAAATTTTATGAGACGTTTCAAAAACACCGCACTGAGGAAAGATGTTGTAAATATGGGTAATTCCTTTGCTTCAAATTTGTTACAATTTATTCATTATTTAATTGTTGCTAATAAATATTTATATTAACTATGTTTTTTTAATATTGTTGTAGCGTATGGGATGACTAAACCACGATTCTACTATTATTACAACATCTTGAGGCAATGTGACATAAAAACATCTAATTGGTTGGATGAGATACCTAGAGAAAAATGGGCACTTGCATGGGACAATGGACGACGTTGGGGCCACATGACGACCAACATAGTAGAGTCTATCAACTCTGTTTTGAAAAAAACAAGAAATCTACCTATTTGCTCCATGGTCAACGCAACGTACACCCGCTGCAACAAATTTTTCATTGAAAGAGGGAGGCAGATAGATGCCATGATCAATGCTTGGTCATGTATACTCTGAAATTTTGGTCACAAATTTAGAGGAAGCACAAACACGAGCAAACACGCATAGGGTCATAACTTTTGACAGGTCTACCACAAAATTTGTAGTAGAAGAAACACAAAACCCGCGTGAAGTTCGACCAGCAGGGAAGTTTGCAGTTCACCTTGATGAGTTATGGTGTGACTGTGGGAAATTCCAAAAATTTCACATGCCTTGTTCACATGTTCTTGCTGCATGCAAGCATGCACACCATGACTTCAACAACTATATTAATTCAGTGTATACCTTACAACAAGTTTCAAAGGTATACGGAACACAATTTGAGTTATTGCGAAATGAAAAATATTGGCCAACATACACAGGACCTACTTTGTGTGCAAATCCAGAAATGAAAAGAACTTCAAAGGGCCGACCAAAATCAAGTCGCATAAGAACTGAGATGGACATTACAGAAAATCAAAGTAGGATTAAAAAATATTCATATTGTCATACCCTTGGTCATAGCAGAAGAACATGTCCCAATGTTGCACGTGCATCTACTTCGCATCATTAGATTGTGTTAGTTAAGAAATGTCTCAATGTATGAAACTTAGGAGTTTTTCAATTAATTGAAAGATGAAGATCTTATTGAATCATTTGATAAAACAAAGATATTGTGGGTTTGATGAAGTCAAAGGTTATTTAAGGAACTTTTTGCTAACTATTTTAATCGATTAAAACTTGTTGTTATCAGTTAAAATAACTTAGAAAGTTTTGTGAAAAGTTTTGAAGAAACTCATTCTGCAAGAGCCGCATAATCTGGGTTTGATTGTTCTAGTTTCTTTTCTTTGTTTCACTACATATTATGGGTATCTGGAAGCTTGAGCGAGAATTGACCACAAGCTAAACGTCCAACGCAGTTAACCACATAATGCAACTTGGGTCACCACATATTTCAATCACTTCTCGTTCAAGCGAAAGTACCCGTCGCTTGAGCGAGAATTGACCCGAGATTACCCATTTGTTACAGGTCTCCTCGCTTAAGCGAAGTTTCTTCGCTTGAGCGAGAGAGAAATAATCGATTATAATTTTGTATATTCGATTATTTTAAAATTTGTTAAAATTTTAGATAGCGGTTAACGTGAAACTGCTATTATATGTTCACTTTTAAGAGCGATTAAAGTGGAACCGCTATCATATATGTGTCACTTTTAATATCATATATGTGTCACTTTTAATATCATATATGTGTCACTTTTAAGAGCGGTTAATATTTTAACCGCTCTTAAAAGTGAACATATAATAGCGGTTCCATGTTAACCGCTATCTAAAATATATTTTTAATAACGGTTAGTTCTAGAACAGCTATCTAAAATCTCGGGTCAATTCTCGCTCAAGCGACGGGTACTTTCGCTTGAGCGAGAAGTGATTGAAATATGTGGTGACCCAAGTTGCATTATGTGGCTAAACGTCCAACGCAGTTAGCCACATAATGCAACTTGGGTCACCACATATTTTAATCACTTCTCGCTCAAGCGGAAATACCCGTCGCTTGAGCGAGAATTGACCGGAGATTACCCCTTTGTTACAGATTTCCTCGCTCAAGCAAAGGGTTTCTTCGCTTGAGCGAGAATTGACCCGAGATTACCCCTTTGTTACAGATTTCCTTGCTCAAATGAAGTGTTTCTTTGCTTGAGCGAGAGTTGATTGCGCGAAATAATCGATCATAATATAAAATAATCGATCATTTTAATACGTGAACAGTAAAGAGTGCTAGTTGTGTAAATAATGTTCCAGATGTGCTATTTTGGGAAATATTTTTTAAAATAGTAATATTTATGAAAAAAAGTCCATGTTTAAAAGTTTAATTTCACTTAAAATTATGTTTACGTAATATAATTAATAGAAAGACTCAATAAATGATCACATATATTATTCATTTTTTTGGAAGGTATAATATTGAAATAAATAAGAAATTTTCAATAAATAATAAGTCAATATATTGAAAATTGAAAATTGAACAAAAATAAATGGTCAAAGAATGAAGAATTTTTTTAAAGTAATATGATATGAGAAGGTAACACATAAACAAAATTAACAATTTAATTTAACAAAAAAAATGTTAATTGTTTAGTAAAAATATAACACAAAATTAATTTAAGTAAAATTGAATGTAATATATATATATATATATATATATATATATATATATATATATATATTAGTCTCGATTTTAATACTAATTTATAAATATAAAATTAAACTAATTTAAATTAAATGTAAAAATAAATAAATTAAGTACATATAATATTTTTGAAAACTTTTATTTATATTTTTAACACCATATATTCTAAGTTGAATTTCTCACATTATCTAACAAGTTTTTTTTTTTAAAGAAAATTATATAAGTTGTTATATTATTAATAAAACACATATCTTCATTATTAAGATTATTCTGTATTGAAAAATAGGAACACATTACATTTATAATATATTATGAAAATATAAACTTTGATTAAAGAATAGATAAGAAAAAAGAAAATATATTAAAATGATTATGAGATGTTGTTTGAAATTTAACTCATCTTGGTTTTGTAGGAGATTTAAAAAAATTATATATATATATATATATATATATATATATATATATATATAAATTACTCTTAATCTTAATTTGTAAATATTTGTGAGATGAAAATTATTAGGAATAATTTCTTTACCATTTCATCTAATAAAAATTATTATTTATAAATAAAAATATAATTTTAATAATGAACATTTCAAATTTTTTACAATATAAATATAAATTCACTAAAAATCACTCTTTTAAAATGTTATAAATTGTTTACATTCTTAATTATTTTAAGGAAAAATGGTTACATTCTTATTCTTATTCTTATTGATGTGTGATATTTGAAAATTCGTAAGAAATTCTTATATCGAAATTATCTTTGTAAAATCTGAATCAGTATTCGTATTCAAATGTGACCCTATACATGTGAGAGAGCTATGCCCATGACAATAAAATCGTATGAAGGAGATGAAAGTGAAACGAAAGAGAGAATGGAAAAGGAAGAAGAGGATCGTAGAAGAGAAGCTGCAATGGCATCCTCACCCTGCCTCCGACCTAATTTTAACCCTAAAGGCATCACACAACACCAGCTCCAAAAATTTCGTGTGAGTACCCTCGTCAATTCGATTCTCTTTTCGTCATTCTTTACATTGAAAATATTAGATTTTTCCAGCATTTTCAAACATGGGTATATGTTGTTTTATTGCTGCGGTTGGTTGTTGTTCTTCTGTGTTAACGTTGCCTGAATATTTGATTGTGGTAGGAACTACACAAGAGGCGATTGCAAGTGAAGTCAAAATCAAAGTTCAAAATAAAATCCAAAGGTTCTTTTTTTCTTTTCCCCCTTATGGTTCATGTATTGTTGATGTTCTAATTCCGTTATATGGCTCTGCAGATGGGGCCAACAAAAAGTCACATGGTGATGATTTATCTAGCCAAGACAGTGTAGCTCAAGGTTCAACGGTTGATCAGAAGGAATCAAGCTTCTGGAATGATTGTGAAAGGTTTGATTCTGGAAATGAAGACTCAAAGGATGACGTACCTGTGATTCCAAAGAAGCAAAAATTGCATTGGGGGTATGTATATATATATAACACTTTAGTTGATAGATCTTAGTTAACAATGGTTAATCCTTGTTTTTTTTTTTTTTAACAATTATAGTTAGGGCATTTTGTTAACAACCGTAATTAGGGCATTTAACTTCCTAGTGGCAGCTTGAGGCATTTTCAAAAGCTCTTTGGATTGACTATGAGACTAATATTCGATTTTGTTATAATGTGTTTTGTTATAATTGAACTCAAGTCCTTAAACTTTGTGTGTGTTGCCAGCTGAACCAGGCCAATTGGGTTAACATAACATCATTGGCTGTGGTTAACCTCTGTTTTGACATCAGATACCACTGGTTGTGTTTGCAGCATTGTAATTCTGTTCTATCCGTGTGTGTATGGCTATTTTGCTTGTTTGTTTTACCTTGTGAGCAGTTCCCAATCACATGATGTTTTATTAACATGATTTAGGCTTGACACCAAGAACCGGTGGGAGAGAAAATCCAACATGTAGATATCAACATGGAACTGAAGTGGGGAGTTCATGAAATTTGGTTAAAATGATTTTGAGAAAAAAATATTCTTCAAGATCGAAACACCATGAGAGTGCTTTGACACTTTGTGTTGCAGTTAACACATGTAGAGAATGCTAAGAGAAGATCAGTTATTCATTCAAGTTTAGGGCTTAAAAGCTGTCATGTAACATCTTGTATATCATTAAGACAGTAGTAGCTCTGCTGTGGTTATATGTTGTAAATAATTTTAGGAACTGATGTTATCTTTTTGATATATTTGCATTGTAACAAATTGTTTGATCTTTAGACTGAAAAAGAAAACAGAGTATTTTTGCTTGAAGATTCTTAATTTATTTGTTTTATTTCTGGTTTTCTCTGTTCCTTCCCATGGCGGCAATCATACACTTTTCAAATTGAGTGTAAGAAAGATGGAAGTTAAAGAAAATTCTTAATTCTTGCAAAAACAATTTAATTGAAACACTGAGAACATGTGTGACAGACACTATATTATTCTAAGTTTTTATGTGATAATTTTTTAAGAAATAAGTCAACAATTAATGTATCTGTTTGTCTCTGGTGCAAGTGTTATTTGCACATAATAGAAGCAACCTTAAAGCATCTAAGTATTTATTGTTTGACCCAGAAATCTTAAAAGAGAGGTTTCTCCAACTATATGGTAACACTGTCACGTTCAAAGTGTGAAACTTTCAATCGTATTCTCCCTTATTTCAAAGCCCTTATGTCTATCTCTACTCATCACCATGCCACGATTAAAAGTTTTCACATTTCTTCTAAATTTTCCTGCGGATTTTTTTTCTTCGTCTAAAAATTCGTATCAAATGAGTTTCTCGTGGATTTTCTTATGAATTTTATGAAGTCTAACGAAAAGTTAATGGAAAAAGTCTTATAAAATATGGAAAGTTTTAATAGTACCTGTATTCACGTTGGATGATTAAGTAGAAAAATACGTGAATTTAATATTTTTATATAAATTTATGTATAAAAGGAAGATTAAAATTAAAATATAAAAAAATTAAAATCATTTTTTTTTATAAGTTAGATGATTAGTTATTCAACTTTTAAATATAAGGATTAGATTAAAATCAAATTATAAAAAAAAAACATTTAACCCATAATTTAATTACCATCGTTATTTATATTTCTTACAGAATTTGACTCGTCATATAATATATTTAATAATATACATAAAACATTTCACCTAATAATAATGAATATATTAGTGAATAATATAAAAATTATAATAATATATCAACTTTTTAGCACAATAAAAACAGAATAGGTGAGATAGCTTTTGTGTTTCCATTAGTTTTTATAAATAAATTGAAATTATTTTGTTTTATGTTTTTTTTTTTAATTAAAATGTCATGTATAACTACAACTAATATTATGCTATGTTACATTTATGAATGAGTTTTAAATTCACTGTAATATATCAACATGTAATTTATGTAGAAGAAGATCATGAAAATGGTCACTCAATTTTGAGGAGAGGATGTCCAGTTTATTGAATTGGACATGTTCTTGCTGTTATCTACCATACATTGTGACAAAAAGTGTATCAGAAAAGATAGTTCTGAATTAAGATGCTGAACCAAAGCTCACAAATTTTGTTCAATATTTGCAGATGAGCAAAATTTGGTTACAGTAAACAAGTCATCCCAGATATCATCATAAAGCAGTTCTGTGAGCAGCAAGGGAATTATGAAGCGATGCATTTTTGGGAGATTTTCAAGCTGAAGAACTGAGAGCACGTTCTATTTCCTCCAATGATCGACCCTTTGTTTCCACAACATTACCAGTTATGTACAAAACAGCAAGAACACAAACAGCTGAGAATCCCAAGTACACGGAGCTGATTCCAAACTTGTTTACAACACTCAAGAAGTAGAGGCCGATGACAAAGTTGGAGATCTGTTAAGACAAAAGATATTCATAGTTTCATTTTCAACATACTATTTAGGCAACTAATAAAACCAGTAATGCAATAAAGGTTTTTTTAGACAAGCTTCTTCATATGTACTTCTAGAAAGAAAAAATGAAATGAGTTTCTCCATAAGTTGAAATTAACTTATGTAGAAACATATTTGTAAAAACTCTGTAGTATAATTTTTCTAAATTTTTATTCTTTAACTTGTGCATAAGTTAATTTTAACTTGAGGAGAAACTTATTTCATTTTTTCTTTTAGATAAGTTTGTCCAAACAGACCTTAAGCATATTACAACATAAATAACTAGAAAAAATAAATGTCATTTAGTGAGAAATATCCAAGGAACTTCTGAAGCGAAACATAGGATGAGGAAATTCGTAGTGAAACTATTTTCTAAGGATGTTTCTTCAACCATAGCATTTTAAACATTAACGTGAGAAGGCACCACTATGTTTCCTACTTTTGGGTGGCAAGGCAAGATACTTATATTCTTCTAATTATTTGTTTATTTTAATGTAAGAAAACAAAGGAGTGTTTGGTAAGATCACAAGCAGCTACATTTACACTAAAGTTTTAGTCTTTTAGCTTCGAATAATTTCAAAATTTATGGCAAGATAAAGGCATTAACCACAGGTAAAATATTAGATTCCAGAGTGAAGTTACCCACCCAATGTGTGCCTAATGACAAAGAAACTGCCTTTGCTCTAATTCTGGAAGCAAATATCTCCGGTAGAAGAAGGGCAGGGACAGGTCCAGCACCAAGAGAGAAGGATAGGACATAGCTGGTTAAGATTCATAGAGTCATCAGAAATGGAAAGCTTAATAATGAAAGAACTTACAAGTTCATTGAAGTCTTTCAGTGAATGGAGTCACTATTATTGAAAAAATTAAATGACTTACAGAACAGTCCCAAGGACAGCAAGGGTGCCAGAGTATGGTGCAAGAACCTTCCAAGTAAAAGAAAGAGAAAGAAGCAACATAGAAGCAGCCTGGGATAGAAATAAAAAAGATAGCCAATTATATGAATGGAAAATGCAGGATAGTTTATTACACAGCTTACAAAAGACAATTAAGTTATAAAACAGAAGAATTAACCCATTAGGATGAAGATTAAGTTTGATCGCACCAACAAACATAAATTCAAAAAGACATCATCTTATACAGGAGGTATATTTGAATTATAAATTGAATAATAAAAAAATTGAGTTATATTTGACCATTTAAGCAACTACCAAGGTAAGAATAGATCCAGACCTACCAAGCTAATTATGCTTCTAACATGTAAGCATTGAACGAAATCAAACATCATAATGCTTGAAAACTGCCATCCCTTTCTTCAAGAATGGAATAAAGTATAAGCATTCATGAGAAAGGGGAAGTGAGAGAAGTGGAAAAGAAATGCTTCGTATAAAAACTTCTCAAAATTGCATTGCTCATTTTTATCTTTCCATTTTAAAATATGGCGTTGAAGTATCTATAAACCCTTCCATTCATAAGTACTATCCCAACAAGGGCAAGACTCTTACAAAGCACAACATCTGCTTGCCATTGGAATCCCCTAACTCCTCCTTGGAAATAAGAAACCCAATAGAATCAACAAGCCGTACTTACCACTTACCAACTCGGGTTGAAATGATATTTACAAATTGCAATCAATCACCACTCAAGTCAATAAAAGCTAAAGTTGCAACTAAAAATGTATGTGGAGGATGAGGAGGAGAATAGTCATATACAGTAAACGAAATCAGCATACTCCAGTAGGATCAATAAATTTGCTTTTCTGAAGAAGAATTTCTAGTATAATGTGTACTAAAGAATCAGTGTTGTGTTCATGCTTTGCCATGTAGAACTATCAAGTATGATATCTGAATGTGGCATAATACCAACTTCATCCTCGCCTTCAAGATACCCAACCCATGCAAATTCTATGTCTGCCATAATTCAACCTAGAATTAACCCCACTCTTCTCCTTGCTCATGAGAACGAAAGAGTTTTAAAACATTGCTTTGCAGGATCCAAAGTGGTTTGCTGCTATGCAAAATGAGTTTCTTTCTCTTCATCATAATGGGATATAGTCTTTAGTTCCTCTTCCTCCTCACAAACATGCAATTGGTTGTAAATGGTTGTTTTGTGTTAAGGAAGACCCCAATGATACTGATCATGAGAACATAGCTGGGTTAGTAGCAAATGGTTTCAATCAGCATGGCTTTAAGTTCAATAAGGCCTTTTATCTGGTTATCAAACCCGCCTCCGTCTGCATGTTATTTACCCTTGCTGTTACTCACAAGTGGTCTTGGTTTCAGAAGGATGTTAGCGATGGGCTTCTTGATGAGAAAGTTTACATGTCCAACCCCAGGTTTGAAGGCAAACACACTTCTCTGGTTTGCAGGCTTCAGAAAATCATTTATGATCTCAAACAAACTCTCTGACCATGGTTTGAGAGACTCAAGACGACGTTACTACAGCTTGGTTTAAAAGATAGCAAGTGTGATCCTTCTCTATTCATATATTGTCAGCAAAAGTGAACAATTTCTTCATTAGTTCACGTGGATGACATCATAATAACTAGAAGCTCCATGTCCTGAATTTAGAATCTCATGCACGAACTAAACTCTGTCTTTTCTCTCAAAGAGTTATGTACCTTGGATTAATTTCGTGGATGACATCATTATAACTGGAAGCTCCACCTCCTTGGCTTAGCATATCATTCACAAACTACACTCTGTCTTTCCTCTTAAAGAGTTACTCAAACTAGACTCTATCTTTTCTCTTAAAGAGTTATGTGCCTTGGATTATCTTGCTATTGAAGTATGCCCCAATCTAATGGCACTCATTATGCTTGAGGCCAGACAGGTCTCCTCTCCTATGATTTCGGGTTCTAAACTCTCTAAACAAGATACAGATTTTCGTCCTGATCCATCCTTCCAATGGCAGTTGTTGGTGAACTCCAATATGTCTGCCCCTTGATTGGGCTGCTGTCAAATGAATCCTAAGATATCTCAAAGGTACTTTAAAATGAGGATTACATCTTTCTACAGCTTTAACTCACCAACCTCCATCTATCAATGCCTTTTGTGATGCTGATTGAGCGGTGAATCTTAATGATAAGTGTTCAACTTCTGGTGCATCGATCTTCTAGGCCCCAATATAGCAACTTGATGGTCAAGAAAACAAACAGTAATTGCTCAATCAAAAATAGAAGCCAACTATTAGAACCTTGCTTTTGCTACTACTGATCTCTTTTGAATTCAAACTCTTCTCACTAAGCTAGCTATTCTCATCATACTCTTGTTATCTACTGTATAATCCATATCAGCACAATGAATTTAGCTTACAATCTTGTATTACATGAAAAGACTAAACACATGGAACTAGACCTTTTTCTTAGTCAGAGAACCTCTTTCACCTACAAGATTTTTTTTCTTAGGTCCAAGCTCAGGGTGGCAGAGTTGCCTCCTGTCTCACCCACCTTGATCTTGTGAGAGGCAGTTAGAGATATACTTTTCTCTAACCTTTTAATATCTAGTCTGATCAGGTTTGTTACAACTAACAGATGCCGGTTAATAGTTGTTAGTTGGTTACAACTGAACAGCTATCAATTAGTGATGATGTGACAACAATATTTACCATCCCACTAAAGCTTGTGATAAGGAGACTTTTCCTTCCTTGTTTGTCCATCAAGGAGGAGGCGATAGCAGTTCCTGCAACAAATAAAGCATCGATCAGAATCAATATGTTGTTTGTGCCGCATGTACAGTAACCTTTTTTATTGAATGCACCATAAACATTTTCTTTGTAATAATACTAACCAAAAACATTTGACGCACCAACCAAGGCACTTGCTGCAACATCAGAAGCAATTCCAGCACTACGGAAAACAGAAGTTGAATAATACACTACAGCATTTATTCCAGCCAACTGCTGGAACAAGAAAAGTGCTGCCCCAACACTGACAACTGCAACAAGGCATATTTTAAGTAAGTGGTATACTATTTCATGTAAGAATGCCTTTAATAAACTATTTAGTAAACTACAAAGTTTGTTGGTTAGTGAAATTAAAATATAAACCATGATAGTATTATCATTAAATAATAACCCTTCATACAAATATAACAGGTATAAAAGAAGGGCCTCGAGGAAATAAACATCAACGGGAAGTCTCATGGGTTATCAAGTCTGATCAATGTAGTTTAGGTTGAAAGAAGATATTTGATTTGGGTGAATCATCATGCTAGACAAATATTACAATCAATGTGGTTTTTACACTGAACTTCCTTTACACTTACACTAACACGCTTAAAGAAATATTTTTCTATGAATTATCCGTGATAAAAAGATGTAGGTTAGAATTATCAGTAATAAAAATTTGTACAGCATTATCAAACCTAGAATCAGTTATAACTGAATTTTAGGATACCTTTCCAATATCGGCTACTAAACAGATCAAACCACCCTGCTTCAGGTTCAGACGAACCTTGACTTGCTGTTGATAAGTCAAGCATAACTGTGGCAACTCTTTCTTTTCCATAAAGTGTTTTAATAGCCTTTTCAGCTTCAGAGAGTCTTCCTTGCTGTAAAATAATACATGGAATTTGATTGTCGAATTGAATTATGTTTGTGAAGCAAATATTTGATAGAAAAATAAAGTCACTGATGTGTCTAAGAGTATTTTCTTCCAGTAGTTTTACTTGTCATATGAATTTATTTCTTCCCATACAAAAGATACAACAGAATTGCAGGAAAACCTGAAAAAGCCAGCGTGGACTTTCTGGAGAAATTGCCATTCCTAGTGCTAACAATACAGATGGAACTACTGCAATGCCAAACATTGTCCGCCACCTGATAAAATATAGTTAACAAAATAAAATAAGCTAAACCAGCTAATGTATCCGGATCCCCAAGAAGAAAATATACTATAAACCATGGATACACAATTAAAATCTGAATTTAAATTTGAGACTAACACAATCAAATCAACCAGGAAGAATTATTTTCAAAAAGAAATATGTGCAGAGGTGTAAAACTTTCCAGTGAATGCATACATGTTGAGTACAAGCTATTATCTCTACAATGTGAAAATATCAAGTCTAACTTCAAATATTGGTAATGAAGGGCCCAGATTTCAGTATCTGAAGTATGAATTTGCAACTGCATTTTTATCCCAAAGTAAAGTTTCACAAATCACAACTAAATTGTCTTATGTTATGTTTGGATAAGGTATTTTATAATTTCTAGAAAATTCAAATACACTAAATTTGAATTTCTTTCATTTAAAATGATTTAATTTTTCAAATGATTTGTTTGGGTAAGACAATTCAACTTGAAAGTTAATTTTTTTGTTTGAAAAAAGTATTTCAATTATTATCAAATATAAAAATTATCATTAATGTATTATGAACTAAGTCTAACTCAGTACTTGACCCTTATCCTATAGATAAGATTGGATCGAGACGGATAAGTTCATAACAGACTAGATTGAGTCAAGTGAGATTGAGACAAAGCAAACTAGTAAGGTCAGACTTGATCAAGACAAATTGTATTAGATTGGGAAGGTTAGGTCAAGTCGGGTTAAGCTCACAAGTTGGGATAAGTCAGGTCGTGTGGACTGTGTTGGGATGAGTCAGCTCATGTGGATTGTGTTGGGATGAGTCTGACTAGATTAGGAGGAACCAAATCATATCAAGTCGAATTGGGTTCAAATAGGTCAAGTCAGGTTGTAAGTAAATAGGACAAACCAAGTTAGATAAGTTGGGTCAGACTAAGATAAGATGTATCGGGTTAAGAGGGGTTAAATCAAACGAATTGTGTGAGACCAAGATGAGTCAAGTTGGGGAAAGGTTGGGTCGGGGTGGATTAGGCTTACTTGGATAGTTAGGTCAAACCTGATCAAGAAGAGTTGAATTAGGTTAGGTCGGATGGGTTGGACCAGGTTGATATAGTTTGGGTCAAGTCAATACAAGATCGAGAGAGATCAAGTCAGAATGGTTCGATGGTGATTCGTACGTGTCTAGTTGATTCAAATTAAGTCAAAGTGGGTCAAGCCAAACTAGACCATGCTTATCTGGGTCGAACTAGGTCAGACCGTGTTGAAAAGGGTTGAGATGAGTCGAAAATATCTCAATTGAGAGTTAAAGAGAAAATATATAAATTTGAAAAGAGATAGAATTTCAAATTCTTACTTTTCAGGTGAAATTTGGAATTCTCTTATTTTAAGCAATCAAAATACCCTCATTAATTTCTAGAATTTCAATTACTTTCCAAATTCTTTATCCAAACAACCAATTTTGTCATGAAGCATTTCAAATACTCTATTGAAATGAATTTACCCTGTATAAATTCCCTATCCATACACAAGGTTATTCACTCATGTTGATAGAAGATTAAAACAAGAAACCAATGATGGGACATGACATATTTCTATTGATTAGCAGAATATTTGCTATTAATTAGTGTAGATTGCAAAATATTGCAGAACAGAATATTTTTTATTGGTGCAAATTTTTTGGTTACAAACTTATAATCTTGCACGATTGTACAACTATAATTATGTAACTATCTCCATAATTATTTAGCAGAGCTGCAGCATAGCATTCATTGTAAAATAGTCAGTTTTAGGGCTAAAAACCAGATTGTATAATCATTATATAATGGATAATTCTCCACAAGAGAACACAAATTTTTTATCTGCATATAAACCAAGGAAATCAAACTGTTAGAAAATAACTACCAAAGTTTAGCACCAACAAAAACCCTGGCATCAATTTTTATTGAGAAAGTACTCTGGATATAGATAGGGAGGGATAGAGGAAAATCCTTAAAATCTTAACAAATTTCTCTCTTCTATGAGCATGTTTTCTTTTGTCACTATATTTATTTCTCACAAAAAAAATATCACTATTTTCTTCTAATATATTTTACTGTCACTGGATGATATTAATCACCAGAAGAAATAAACAGCTCAAAAAGCTTAGATGAAAACATCCACACCCGATTCTGACTTAAAAGAGGGAAAAAAAAAGCAGTAAGGTGAACAAGTGAATACCATATAGGGTTTCTTGCCAGAGGCAGCCCAGCTACCAGGGCCAGAAGAATCCCAATACATATAAAAAGTTGATTAACAGACCCGAGTGCACCACGAACTTCGGTTGGTGAAATCTGCCCATTAGAAGGAGTCACCACACATTCCATATATCATATGCACTCATGATCAGAAAGATAAGAATAATTAATAAAGCACCTCAGATATGTATAGTGGTACTATAGCAGATGTAACACCAATTCCTATACCAGCAAGTAACCGACCAGTGATCATTGGTTGAACACTCTGGGCTGTAGCACTGTAAATGATTCATAGTTTAGAATGTCAGATTTCAAAAGAATAAAAGGATAAAGTCCTATCCTAAATACCAACTGGCAGACCTAAGAAATGCTCCAATTGCTAGAGGGATTGCAGCTAATTGAAAAGTCCTAGTTCTTCCAAATTTGTCAGCCAATGATCCGCCAGTAAATGAACCAACAGTGGCACCAGCAAGTAGTGTGCTGACAATCCAGCCTGTTCAGGGATTTTCAGTCGTGATAATCAAGAGAAATGATTGATGGGGCATATGAAAGTGAAGCTAGGACTTCTAATAAAAAGTTGCCAGTAACAGAGACCATTAGTAAAAAAGCTAGAACTTTTAATAAAATATTAGTTTTTAAAGCTTATTATTACAGAGTAATGTAAGTCTAACTCACCCATACAAAACCAACTTATAAAGTAAGGATTGCCCCCAATTATATGTTTTGCTTTTGCACTATCTCTAGTCAATGTGGGACTTGGTTTTTCCCAATAAAGCTCAGTTAATTTTCTGCTTACGTTAACAGTACCATTAACATGTACACTACAAACATGGATACAATTTTCCCTTTATGACTGCCCAAGATAAATAGCACTTTCATATATCAACAATTTTCATTACTTATTAAATCAATCAAAAATTTTATTTTATGTATATAGATAGATAAATAGATAGATTGATCATACACATATATAAAACATGCACCTTGTAGAACAGTATTTTCAGTGATTCCAAGATCCTTAGCCAAGTATTCAAGAGCACCATTTACCACCCTACACCAAACACCACATTGTCAGAGTTATCCAACACAAAGATATTATTCAATGAAATAGTAGCAGCTATACACAAAGATATTATAACATAGATAGCAGCACAAAGGAAATGACTTGATGCATTATAGTCCATTGACCCACATACAAATATGAAGAGGTTATCCATACCCAAGATGGTAGCCAAATAAAATGGCTCCAAGGCAAGCAACACCAACATACGGTAGAACAGTTCCAGAAGATTTGCTCTGAATGGTAGTTGGGACAACATCCTCAATATTACCATCTGCAACTCAATTTACTTGCTATGAGTATCTGTAAGTACATATCAATATATGTAATAGCTAGAAAATTATCAAATTGCAATTCAAATCTGAATGCCAAGCTAACTTTTCCATTGTGAATCATAAAATTATATAGAACCCAAAGAGGCAATGAAAAGCAATTTAAAATATATTGTATAAATGTCATATAGTGTATAGTTCTCAGTGTAATAGGTTTAAACTAGAAATTGATAAAACATCTTAACCATAAGTCTCACCACAAAATCAGAAGTCATATAAGTGAGTGTGTGAAGCCTCTATTCTCAAAACTAAAAAAAGGAGTAATGGAAAAACTAAATAAATTCCTTATGAGAAATGGTTAAAGAAAAGTAAAAAAGGAAAATAAGTGATAACAAATGTAATTTATCTTAATGATACAGAATCACACTGATTCATTCACATATTGCACTCTCAAAAAATCATCTGCTATGCATCACATGATATGTATCACTGGCTAGCTGAATCATACCAAATTGGGTGATTCAAATCACAAACTTAAGTGAGATTTACACTGTAAGCTAACAAAAACTTAGAGCCAATTTCTAGCACTAAAAAAGCTGCAACATATGCAACTGCAAAACATACGCATATTAATACCATTCGTATCATAGAAACAACATGAAGAGCCAAAAAGAAACAAAAGGAAATTATAAAAGATGAATTCCACACTCTTAACGTCGTTCTACAAAGAATATTATCCTTACTATTTGAATTTCCTAAGCACTGCAACCATGTTGAAATTAAAGATTCATGTATGAACTGGATTACAAACCTCGATTAGGATTCCCATCATTCATCATGCAGATTTCATGTTGGGAAATCAAGCAACAGACTTAACTATCTGAGTCAACAAACAATTGCAACAATAAAAACGATACCTAACACACATAGAAAAGCATAGCCTTGCTAGAAATGAAACATCAATGCAATTCAACATAAATAACAAGCTACACATCAAAAAGCAAATTTTGCCAAGAAAGCCAAAATGGCATCATTAAGCAAAACAACACATGGTCAATTTACATGAACCACGTACATTATATACACGTCACAGGCAAATGCAATCGGAAAATATTACAAAGTAGCTAATAAACCAAACAAATCAAGGCCATCAGCAACAGCATACAAACCAGAAGCCATAACCCTGACTGATCTGGGCATAACGGGTGACCCAAATTTGCCACCAAAACCAACTTTGGTACCAATCAGCTCAGTTTCCATAGTGGCAGAACCAAGCCTTAACCCGCACAGATCAGTGTTATTCTTTGTCATGGACACTCTTCTGGGTTTCAAAACACTCCCATTTCTGAACTCCCCAAAATCCACCAACCCCCTTCGCTTTGGAACCCCCAAAGTGGCTCCTTTAACACCAAAAGTTGATGTCTGCATGTTATCTGATAAAAATTTCAAATACCCATTAAATCAGAACATGGAATCTTCAAACAAATATAAGAAAATATACAAAATATATCGAAAAACACCAATGCTTGAGGAAATAAAAAGAAAAAAATGGAAACACTAATGCAAATGAACTAATAATGAAGCGTGAAAGTAAAGAAGGTAACTGATGGATTACCCTGTTAAAGGGTGACGCAGAAATCAGAAAAGGGTGATGAAAGTATTGTACTTTTGAGTGTTGACGTTCACTATGAAGGGATCATGCAATTTTTTTATATCGGGATTTGCGTTTTCTTGATGGATGGAATGAAGGAACTACGAAAGTATCGCTTATGAGTGAAACCAAACAACCAGATGAAGCTGGTGAAGATTTCAACTATTATTAAAAAAAAAAAAAATTGGATAAATGATGCATCCCAATCATAAATAAGAGATGACTCATCAGTACGTGTTGCTTCGATTCATCAGAGTTACTACTTTGATTATATAATTAATTATGTTAAATATTTAAAGAATTTGATTTCTGGCTTAAATCAGTTTTATCCGAATTCAAGGAATTGTGTTTCTGGAATGTCTATAATCTCCTATAAAAAAAATTCCAATCAGTTTTTTGGAAAAAAAAAAAAAAAAAAAAAAACTCTTAACTTTATACTCCCATAAAAATCATATTTAGAATAATTTATATTGACAGCATTAATATGGTACATGAACGGTGTCGTTTTCGCGCCGCGCCCACGTGGATTGGTCCCACTTACAATTACTGGACCACACTTCAATTTCTCTATCCTCTGTGATATATCTTTTTCATGCATTTTATTCTATCTTCGAAAATTTTGCACTTAAGAAGACTTTTTTTTATTACTGTTATCCGATTCAGTGCTTAAAATTCTTCTCAATCCTTTATTTGATATAATTATTTCATGTATTTTATTTTAATCTCATTTTTTTTATTTGAAAGCTTTTTTTATTATTATTATATTACTTTTTTAAAATATATCTTATTACATAAAAGTATAAATTATCTTTAGTTTTAAATATTGAACTTCATATTTATTGTGATAATAATTCATGTCAATTCTCATATTTGATATTTTTTCTAACTTTGATTCGTTATAAAACTTGATAAACTAAAAAAAAATATATATATATATATATATATATATATATATATATATAATATATAAATCATTATTAGTTTCCACATTTAAACATTATAAGTCTCAACTAAAATTTCATTGATTTTTTAATTTTTAGAGAAAATCTTTAAATTATTATTTGAAATTATAAATAATTTATGGTTAGCTTAATTAGACCAATAAAATAAAATACTTCGACAATATTAGAAAAAATCAATTGGTAATATATCTAAAACCATATTTATATATTCTATTTTAAAAAAATATGAAATAAGAAATTCAGAAAATGAAGAAGTTATAAAAAAAATAATATTGAAATAGTTGTTTTATTTGTACAAATTCAAATCAGACAGATTTTTACTCAAAATAGAAAAGAAACTTAAAAGAATTTAAAAAGTCTATTAAAAAAAAATTATGTTGTAATTAAATTTTGATCTTAATGAAAACAAGATATCAATGAAAAAATAATTAACTAGATTTAGTATTTTTTTTAAAATTTAAAGAATTTCATTAGAAAAAGAAAAAGATTAAAATAGACACATTAATTCTTTATTGTATATCTAATTTTTTATGAACTATATGTGCATGTTGGACTTTTAAGGGAAAAAAAAATCTTAAATAATGTAAGACAAATCACTATGAGAGACTAAAAAAAGAGAAGACTAACATGTTCAAAATTTTATTAAAAGTTTTTATTATGATTCCCCTAAAAAATTATTTATTTAGATCAATCTGAAACTAATTTTCTTATTTAATCTCTACTCATTAACATACCTAAACAATTTCTATATTCATTATTTTTGATGACGTACTAATATAATTTTCATTAGTTAATAGTTTTAAAAAATTATATTTAAAATGCGTACTCAATAATATGTTTTTAAATTGAAATTGATATGATGTAACATTTCAACACATAAACATTTACAAATATGTTTTGAAGAAACCAAAATAGCTTATTTTCATTTAAATCCTATTCTGTCGAGATTTTTAATTTTTCAAGTTTACTTATTTTAAAAATTAAATAAATATGAATTTAGTAAAATGTTATAAATTGTTAAGTATAATTAAAAACATGTGCCTAAATAAATTTTAGTTATAGATTTCACATTTTAGAGTATAATGAAGTTCTTTATAAATATTTAGTAGAGGAAAGTAACAAATATTAAAAAATATTTGTAAAAATTAAATTCATTATACATTAACAATTTATATAAGTTTTATTCTATTAGTTTTTTTAAAATTAGATTTTAATTTGTACACAATCAGTTTAGTTTATATAAAAAAAAAGTTACTTTTGTGTGGCATTAACAGATAATTGTAAAATTCGAACCAACAGTAGAATTTTAGGTGTGGATAAAAAAAACTGAACACCTATCTAAATCAAATTAAATAGTTTATTATATTTAAGTATACTTTTATATTTTGAAGTTAATAACTACCTAATAAACTATTTAAATATATTTTTTAAATATTATTTTATGATTTGATTGTATTTTTATTTATAATATATTTATATTTATTAAAATATAATAATCAATTTATATTATAACGACATAGAATTTTACAAAATAAATTATGTTTAGGTGATATTAGAAACCTTATAAATAAAGGCTAAATAATTTTAAATTTATAGAATTTTTATTATATTAAAAAGAATTTTCTATAATTATCTCTAAAATTTTAGTGCTTGAAACTCATTAAAATTCTGTTCAAAAATTAATAATAATTATAATCCTGATTTTCATTCTAACTATCAAACATAAACATTATCTCATACTCATAAACATGTTGTAAACTAAATACGAAACCATACTGAATTAGTCATAATGATAATATCATTGTAGAGCACTATTGATTTTATGGTCTTCCACCTGAAGAGCACCTGTATTTCCCTCTGAATTTTCTCTCTTGATGGAGATAGAAAGAAAGAAACGAGATTAAGACTGACGTTCTGTGTGTGCTCCCAAAAGGGGATCATGACACTTTAAATAACTAAAATTAAGTTAATTACTTATGTTTTAGTATTTCCAATTTGACCCCTTATCAAATTAGAAATTGCTCTATGGTCTCTACATAATTTTATTTTTATGACATATGTCTTTAGCCAAACTTTTTAATTTAGTCAGATCACTTTATTATTTGACTTAATAAATAATGGTCCTAACACATTTAAATTATGTATCATATATATACATGACCTAATATTTGTCAACAATCTCCCACTAGTCATAAATATATATGTCCTTACAACCTTACAAATGTGTTAGACTTTATGAGCTCAAAATTGTCATTATATTCCTTTAACATACTCCAAAAGTCTCGTCCATTGATCATATCAGGATATAACTTAACAATACAACTGATTTGTTGTCACAATATAACTTAAGTGGTCTTTCAATGCCTTTCACAATTTGCAGCCCTGTGACAAAATTTCTCAGCCATATTCCATGATTTGATAGCTCATAGCATGCTACAAATTCTGCTGCCGGAGTGGATGAAGCTGTAAGAGTTTGCTTGACACTGTGCCAAGAAATCGCACCACCTGACAACATGAAAATGTAACATGAAGTGGATTTCAAACTATCTTGACATCCTGCAAAGTCCAAGTTAGAAAACCTAGTGATCGCCAACTGGTCTGACCTCTTGTATGTGAGCATATAATCTTTTGTTCTCTTTAAATATCTCATGACCCTTTTTGCTGCTTTCCAATGGTCCATTCCTGGATTGCTTAAATATCTACCTAGAACCCCAACTATGTATGCAATGTCTGGATGCGCACATACTTGGGCATACATCAAACTCCCTACCGCTGATACATAGGAAATCTTCTGCATTTCCTCAATTTCCAAATTCCCCTTTGGGCACTGATTGAGACTAAATTTGTCTCCCTTATCAACTAAAGTATCCCCGAATTTACATTCATGCATGCCAAACCTTTTAAGAATTATTTTTTCGATATAGCTCCTTTGTGATAATCCTAAAATATCCCGACATCGATCTCGGAGTATCTGAATTCCTAATACAAAAGACACATTACCAAGATCTTTCATTTTGAAATTCTTTGATAAAAATTTATTGGTTTCGTGCAATATGCATATATCATTAGTGACAAGTAGAATGTCATCAACATACAAGATCAGGAAAATATACTTGATCCCCTTAAACTTGTGATACACACAATCATCAACAATATTCATCTCGAAGCCAAATGAGAGAATTACTTGATGAAATTTGTAGTACCATTGACGAGATGTTTGTTTTAGTCCATAAATGCATTTTATCAGTTTGCAAACCATATTCTTTGGATCTCCCTGCACAAAATTTTCTGGTTGTGCCATATAAATTGTCTCATCAATGTTGCCATTGAGAAACGCCATCTTGACATCCATTTGATGAAGCTCCAAATCATAATGTGCTACAAGAGCCATAATTGTCCTAAAAGAGTCTTTCGATGAAACTAGAGAGAAAGTCTCTTTAAAGTCAATTCATTCCTTTTTGGTATAGCCCTTAGCTACCAGACGAGCCTTATACCTTTCCACATTACCTTTAGAATCTCGTTTGGTCTTAAATATCCATTTGCAACCAATGGGTTTCATACCTTCTGGTAATGGGACAAGTTCCCAAACTTTGTTGTCTTACATGGACTTATACTCCTCCTTCATTGCTTCAATCCACTTTTTAGAGTTAGAACCTTGCATAGCTTGACGGAAGTTAACTGGGTTATCTTCCATCATATCATTGTTTTCCTCATGTTCTTGAAGAAATATCATGTAATCATCCAAAATAGTACTTCTTCTTTCTTTAGTGGATCTTCGCAAAGTTATTGGCTCATAATGCTAAGGTTCTTGAGGA